AGAGAGAGAGAGAGAGAGAGAGAGAGAGAGAGAGAGAGAGAGAGAGAACACTGTGACACTGAAAGTCAGGCCATAATCCTGAATGACTTTCAGTCAAATAATTTGTCAACTTGTAACGTCAGCCTGTCAGCTTGTGACTGTGAGACACTGGGTTCCTGTTTGTCAGTCAGTTCGACTTCATCAAGCTGTCCGTCAGTCTGTCGTACCTTGATGTCCTTGCCGAATAGGTTGGCATAGAAACACAGCCAGTTTCTGGAAATGTAGAGCCGGCCCTGTAGAAGAATATCTCTGAGAAGAGCACAGGAGTACACTGAGAACAGAGGAGAAAGAATCTGTATTAAATCCAACTCGTTCTACAATTGTTCAGCTGATAAAGAAAAACACAATGTCTCTGAACCCAACGACTGTCTCACCAGCATTTTGATAAAAAAAACAATCTCTGAAGTTTCATATCATTGGTTACATTTTGATAGATAGCATTGAGGTTCATGGTAAACCAGGTTGAACTAACAGAACAGTTCGTCCTGGAAGTGTGTCTGACGTTAAACAAATAGCAGAAACACTGAAGCAAGACAGATTAAAGTTGGACACAGCCAAGAAAAGAAAGAATAAAAATAAATATTGATTTTACAGAGCAATTGTTACCAGTGTTTGTTCTTTAAGGCTTTTGATGTGCAATTACAAATGCTGCTGTTGAAGATGCTAGTATTTTGTACAGATACTGAAAATAATTTAACGCGCAACCTAGCATGTCTTCACCACAATTTGACTATCGTACGGGTGAAAAGCGTAATCAAACAGACTTTAGACCACCACAGGACACTTAAAGCAGACATGACAGCTTGATTTACCTTCATGTTACTAAAAACCTCGTCTTTTATGTCGCTTCCATCATCTCAACATTGGCTCACATTTGTGCTGCAACTAATGATTCGTTATTGATTATATTTCTGACTAAAAAGTTACAATAAGCCTATTTATTTAGCCTTTACATTATCTACAGCCATGGATGACGTCTTAACATTTTTAACAGCCCAAAACCCAACGATATATTGAATACATAACACAGATATAAAACAGAAAAGCAGCAACATGGGAAGTTCAGCATGTTTTATGGTTATAGCTCGATAAATTACTAGATGATCAATCAATTATCAAAAGCGATGGCTCGATTGACTAATTGTGATTGATGAATTAAATAATCATGTCAGCTCTATAGCCAATATCTGGTATTTGATAAAAGGCTAATATCGGTCTCATGTTGTTATTGTGCATTAGTAGCTTGCAAGAAAAGCTAAATACAGTACAAATACAAGTACAAATGCATAACAGGAAAATCATAGTGAAGTTGAAGCATAACAAGAACACTAGAATATTAACAAGTTGATCAATAAAACAAGCTGTTGCAGTACAGAAAAAGACTCCTTAAAGTTTTCCTCACGGTGAAGAGGACATTACCTTTCATGAGGATCTCGTCCTTGGGCACACACTGGAACAGTTTGTGGTACTGCGAGTTGTACTTGCTGACAGTCTGTGCAGAGGGACAGGGCAGAGACATGAGCAGCTCCTTGGCGGACCGGCCTGCCTGCACAGCACCACCGGCCACTCCACCACCACCACCACCGGCCACTTTGGCTCCGCTCGCCGCAGACACCACTCTCTCCCTCAAAGGACGCGAGCTCTGCACCAGGCTCAGCACGTTGGCACCGTACACACACACACACTCGCGCACATCCAAGGCCTGGAGCAAGTCGCTGCAAGACACACACTGTGCCCCTGTCGCCGGTCAGTGCGGGGCCCCCGAGAATGGAGGACTGTCTACCTCTAATCTACATGAAACCTACGAAACACACACACAGGGCTCTAATGTGTACACCTACAGACACACATACACTACTACAGAGTTACAGCAGCAACGCCTCAGTTTACAGCCACAGAGCTCTTTCTCCAAAACTGAAAGGCTCTCTGTCTCAAATACACCTCCAGTGACTCCACAATTTAAAGCACCCAGCTGACACCCTCCCTCTCCTTCTGCCTCCTTCCTTCACACACACACACACACTTTGCCCTTCATCATTCTGAGCTGAAAAAAACAACACACACACAGGTACTCCTCACTACTCTCTTAGTTGAAGCCCCTTCTTTCGCCGGTCCTTCCTTCTATGTGTCAGCCTGTCTGCAGTGGCCGTCTGTGACACCTAAACGTCCACACTTCACAGAGAAAATCATACTTTTTTTCCTTCCATCTGAACACACAAGAGGTCTCATTCATTCCCCGCTCTCCTCCCTCGCAGCTCAAGCTCCCCTCCAGCTCCAGCTCCTGCCACCTATTTTCCTGTCCCGTCCTGTATATCTCGTCTATTTTTTCCTTCGGCTCGTATCGGCTCAGTTTATCTCAGTTGTCTGCTGCTCCTGTTTTTGTCTTTCTATTAATAGCTCACACTAGAGCAGCTCCTGTCCTCGGGAATATGCCGCTTACAGTAAATTACAGTGACGCAGAGGGCTCGGAGGTAATGTAAACTGTTAATGTGTAATAATTTGCTGACTGAATTCATAGGTCAAATAGAATTAGATGATTAGTCTGTGAGGTGGTTGTATTATTTCCACTTGATGATGATGCTGTTTGTCCGGGGGGCACTGGCCAGAATGGCAGCAGGTCTACGTGATAGTAATTTAGGATTATATAGTACTGCTGAGCCTGTCAATAAGCACATGAGCATTTGTTTGCCGTTTAGTTTTAGATGTCGAGTCTAAAATCGTTGAATAAGAAATCTCACAATAGTTGGGGTCATTTCTCACAAATGTATAATAGCATCATGTTGTTAGTATGTCATCATGTATGATTCAGAAAAGATAAATAAATACATATATTATGCATCAGATTGCAATTAGATTGCGTCATATTTGTTGAAGCCTTTTTTTATCCAATTTTCATGACACAGATCTGACAAACATATTTCAACACTGCGGTGTAAAAGTGAGAGAAATGCCTTTAAGTCCAGGAATTACTAAATGAATCACAATGCCGCTTTCAGTACAGATTAAACATTTAGGTGAAAGTTAACACAACTGGTTTAGGATCAAGAGACAGACCAGACTCACCGAGCCCCGGTAACATTTCTTCACATCTTCATAGGACAGGTCTTCAATCAACTGAAACCTGTAACACAAGAAAAATACACTTAGAATGAAAATAATACTTCTTCATATACATGTTTACATTCCATTAATAATAACTATCCTACATTCAAAATATACTAAGCATCAACAAAAACATTCTTCTCTCTCAATGTACTATATATATATATATATATATATATATATATATATATATATATATAT